GCTATACATTTGGTCACTTAATAATTTGAATTTTATTTTGTTAAAAATTTGAGTTTTCAATCACTTGAATGGTTGAATTTTGAACCTGTTTGGTAGCACGTAAAATTTTGACCACCACATTAATAAACCAAACAATTAAACTATCATCATACAAACCCCTGTAACTATGTATTATGTAAGCGACTAAGCATCATCATATTCTGTTATGCATTTGGATTTTGCAAATAGTTATGCTTGGTTTTGTATTTTGCAGATTTTAGATCATGAAGACAATGTGATGATGCGCCCCTTAAAGTTCGTACATTGAGAATTATGAAGTCAAGCAAAATGCTAGAACCATATAGTTATTACATGAGTTGCGGTCACCGTTTGAAATTGTGACTTTGATTCTTTTCAGTATGAAATACAGATTACTGTTTTATATATAGTGTGCAATTCATGTTGGATATCGTAGCATTACTCAAAGTAAATAACAATGAATGTAAAATTTTTTGAGATGATTATTTTCATTTTCTGCATACTCAGTATCTATTATGCACTGATATTCGATGGACACATTAATTCAAAACATGATATGAGTGTATGTATAATTCTAATTGATGTGCATCATATGTGATATTTGGATGCGATAATATGTGATAGAGATGCAAATTTCATTGATGAAGATGGGTTGTGATTCGGTCTTATAAAAGCTTATTAATCTTATTGATGGACTCGGGCCGGGTCGGGCCCGGGCCGGGCCGCCGGGTTGTATGACATGGACCCGGGACCGGCCCGAGGGTTGGACGGGTCCGGTTCGGGCCGGGCCACCCGCCCGGGTCACGGGTCGGGTCCGGTTCGGGCCGGGCCGGTAAATTTTTTTTATATATAATTTATATTTTATAGTTTATAGTTTTATATGAGTATTAAAAACAAACTTCAATTGCATTTATTTGAAATGAAATAGGAACTACATTTGAAAATTAAAACAAACTTTAAGAGATAAACATTTTGAAAATTGTAATCAATCGGAACTTCCCGCACCTCCCGATCCTTTGGCTTTGTCACATGACTTCATATGCTTGATTGTCATCCTGAATCCGCCTGAAGCCCCCATGCTACATTTTTTCTCGCACCATTTGCAAATTGCGTACCACATCCCGGTCTTCGGGTCCTTCTGCTTATCAAAATTATACCATATAATGGCATCTTGATTTTCCATCTTAACTTCTTAAGTATAAACTATAAAGTAGATATATAAATAATAAATATAATATATTGGAGAGTAAGAGAATTAGAGAGTAGAGAGTTAAGAATAGGATTTAGGAAGAATTGGAGAAGAGATATGAAAATATGTTTAAGATTAGGAGTATTTATAGGTTTTTTTACCCCCCCCCCCACCAGCCAACCCCCCCGGACCCCCCCTTTACCCCACCCAACAGCTATATAGCCGTTTGGGTTGTCCCCACCCCCACCCCCAACGGCTAGTAGCCCAACCAAACAATTTTTTTTTTTTTAAAATATGACCGGACCCGGGCTCGACCCGGCCGGGACGGGTCACATTATTCCAGCACCGAGCCCGCCCCTTCCCACCGGTTCGGGCCCATACCCGGTCCCGGACCGCCCGACCGGGCCGGTCCCGGGCCCGCACAGTACCGGGCCGGGCCGGGTCACGAGCCGGGTGGCCCGAACCGAATCCAACCCTATATTTAATCTTAAAGAATATGAAATGCATAGTTTAAGTATAATCAATATGTATGATATAACCTTGAATTATGTATGCATGTTATTTGAATATGGAATGTAGTTATTAATGATAAGATGCACAATCTGAACTTCTAAAATGCACGTCATTGATGGGGTATGTGGCCCAGGAACCCTCGGCCCACATACTTACACTACTTCAATCAGGCCCAACAGGTCTAAATGGGCCAAGCCCAGTAAACAAGACTCCAGGCAGCCCATAATATGCAAGGGGGAGCCTTCGGATCCATGCCTGAAGGCTTAACATTCATGAAATCAAGTCCAGAAACATCACAGGAGAACAAGACTCGAAATACAGACCTTCGGCATATAGAGCCTTCGACACATGGAGACCCCCGACACAAAGAGCCTTCGGCCACATGGAGGCCCCCGATGCATAGAGCCCTTGGCCACATGGAGGCCCTGGCACACAGAGCCTTCGGCCACATGGAGGCCCCGGCACACAGAGCCTTCGACAACAACGTAATCATCGAAGATTCCCTTTGGGGACAGACAACCACCGCATTTAATGCAGCGTCACATCCACCCACCACATTTAATGTGGTGCACATGCATATGCTGGTGCCACCCCGATTGAGGTAACCCTTCGGCCGTTAGATTGTTGACACGTGTACTCTCATCGCATTTATGGCTACTATAAATAGCAGCCATTATTCACCTTGTAAACCATGTTGAGTTCATTTAATACATTTGACTCTCTCTCTTACTTACTTGCTCTGACTTCTCTCTAGGTTATTCACCATAATAACCCCTCGGATAAGCTACCCCTGGGTACGGTATCCATCAATTACTATATAAAACATTATTAACTAGAAAAATGGCTCAAATATTACTCATAGGCTTTTAATGGACAAAACTATCACTAAATTTTGATAGGACAAAAAAGTGATTAGAAGGGCCCACCACTTTCCACGTACGTTCATCTTCTCCGCACAAGATCTTTTCGTCTATTCATCCCCTCTCTTGAGTCTTGAGACAGAGCTTTGATGTCGTGAATATTCAGAGCCGACGTCGACGTCGTGACAATATACAAAGCCGTCGACGCCGTGATCGAGGAGAGTCGTCGGTGCCGTGAGGAGCGCCATTGACCAGACATGACAGGGACGGCTGGGTCATTGACCGGACGGGAACAGTCGAGTCATTAACTAGATCGGATAGGACCGGGACTACTCGACCGTCGATCGGACCGAAAGAGTACCGCCTGGTCGTGGATCAGACCGGACACGCACCGTCGGGTCATCGACCGGATTAAACATGGACCGTCGGGTCATCGACTGGATTAAACATGGACCGTCGGGTTGTTGACCCAGACAAGGGCCTCCGGGTCATGGATTGGACCGAACAAAGACCCGTTGGGTCGTGGATCAGACCCAATCAGTGGCCAGCTGTTGCAAGTATTTTTCCTTAACTTTTTAACTTTTCATGTAGAACAATTAGATGGAAAGAACCATTTCAATGTTTTCTCCTAAAATTCAGGGCCGGTCATAGGGGGTAGGCATCTAGGCAGTGGCCTAGGGCACCACTCCCAAGGGGGGCATCATTCTCATGTCCAACAGGTTTTGGTCCGAACACCGTCCGAACAACGCCTTTAGGGGCGGTTCCCGGTGGAATTTTTTGATTACATTTTAATGGTATTTTCTTCATCAAGTCTAGTTTTTCCAAAAAAAACATTCAGCTCAAAATCCGACCGGGAAGGCCGTCAAATAATTTTTGGAAATTAACTGCGCAAAATTATACATAGAAAACCGCAGTCAACTTCCAAAAATTATTTTACGGCCTTTCGGATCGAGTTTTGAGCTGAATTGTTTTGTGAATAAACTAGACTTGATACATAACATACCATAAAAATTTCATTGAAAAATTTCACCGGCAACCACCCCAAACGGTGGTGTTCCGACGGCATCTCAGGTCTGAACTTTCGGACCTGAGAATTTTCCTATATATATAGAATAAACTGACCCAATAAAAATTACTGATCATGATGATTACCTCGTTGATAAAAAACGGAGTTTTAGTGACAAACACTAAACTCGGTGCTTGCAAAATGGTGAAAAAAGTGTTATCTACTCGACTACTCTTGATTGTGGTGATGTAGTTACAAATTTGCACATCAAAAAGCAAGAAGAATATGTTATTAGGTAGTACTTTTATAATTTTATTTATTTCTTTGAAGAATTTATATTTTCACATACTTTACATCAATTTTAAATCAGGTATTTCTTTTTACATTTAGTAAAAAATGATGTTATAATTTTCGAATTATTTCGTATTTAATTATGTTATTAATTTGAAGTACAATTTGATATCATTAGTTATTTTTTGTCTTGGGCACCAAAATTCCTGTAGACGGCCCTGCTAAAATTATTCCCAAAAGAATATTGCTGCAATTGGGATATTTTTCGTAGAAATATTTAAAAAAATGCCGAATGGCAACGGTTGTGGATTTTTGTGGATTTCTCGTCAAATTGTCCTAAATAACACTAAAAACATTTGTATATTATAAAATTGGACTATCATTTTTTATTCTCAAAATAGGACTAATTATTGTCATATTTTGTCAGTGCAAGACTTTAAACATGATACTATTTTCCAAACTTGACAGTAAGTACTCCTATTTTGACAGTCCTATTTTGAGAATAAAATAGGAGTTCCTGTTTTTATAGGAGTTTCTATTTTGGTAATAAAAACACGGCAATTCTATTTTGAAATTTTCAAACTTTTTTACTACTATTTCGGAAATTTTTCCCTTTTTCATCAACATTTTAGTAAAGCAATGGGTGGTAGCAACCACACTTGTATTTTTCAAATGATGTTCTTCGATAATAATTGGCCGGTTAGGGGCATTTTAAAAAATAAAAACAGAATGGAGAAACTGTAAGTTTCATCCTTGACTACCACAAAAACGTTAATTAAGTACTCATACTTTTAAAAAAATCAATCAAATTCCTGAAATTTGAAAACATACTCAATTGAGTCAATTAGTAGGTTACCTACAATGTCAGCATGCACCCGCTTACGTGGCGCACACGCGGCAGCCCAGCCAACAGTGACTTTGCTGATGCGGCGCACACATTGAAGCCTTATCAGCCATTTACCGATGACGTGGCAAACACGTGGACTAAATAAGAAGGGTTGCTCTCCCGTACGTCTACATTGGTGAATGTTTTGGTGCATTCAACACATGGCTTGATCCGATTTGACATGTACTCCCGGTCAGCTATTCAATTAAAAATTCCATAATTGCAAATGTGATCCTTGGCTAACTGTTATTTGTAAGTCCGTAGAATAATACGTAGTATGTTTAGAGTTTAGTTTCTCTTCTATCGTCCACGTTTTCTGAACTGCCGCCATATCTCAATCTTATTTTACTTTGCCCACCAATTGCCTCCTTCACATCCCAGGTGGGTGCTTTCTCTTAAAATCGAGGTTTCTATTTCTCATTAATCGGAGATCCTAAATGAAGGAACCAAAATCGAGGAAGAAGCTCCAAAAATGCGTAATCCAAGCTGGCTAGCTGAACCTGACCTTTCTTGCTCCGGTAATATACACAACGACGCCATCCATATTACCGTAGAGGGATGCATATGTGTACATCAACAGGTACATGAGTTGGATAACTTATTAAGAGCTTAAGATAAGTTTTGACTCTAAGTCTAAGGTTCCAACCCAACCATGGAGATCTTTATGTTCTGGAAAAGGAGAGGTACCTTGGATCTGTTTGTGAAGTAAGCAACTATGACGAACCATGAGAGTTGTGGATTATTATGCTGAAAACGGGAACTTTATTTGACAAGAACACATTCCTTTGCCTAGAAAACGGAAGGAAAGATTATTGAAACAGGCTGAAATTTCCCACGTTTTGACAAGGGTCAAGGGGTGCACCATGTGCCTTCTGTAACCCCTCAAGGACTGTATGAAGTTGGTGGCTTTTATGATCTGTGATATGTTTGTTGTGATATATGTGCAGGTTGCGGCCTACGTACACTTCCAGGTTGCTCAAATTTAGCCTACACTTCCAGGTTTCTCAAAATTTATTGTGATATACTACGTATATGTGTGCATAAAAGAAAGAATTTTTTTTCAGTGATATGTTTGTTGTTCTTTCCGGATAAGATATAAGCATATTTATTTGCTTGGGGATGTCATTCTGATTACTGTTTCTAACATACTAACAGCTCTAACTATTTTATCTATGGATAGAGATCAGTTGGATGCTGAGACAGAGACAAATGCCAATTTACACCATGAATTGTATTACTTTTTGGGTTCCTCTTTGAGATATGTGCTTTTTCTTGATTCTTTCTTCCAGCAGTCCAATGTTAACAACTCTTTATAACTGTAAGCTTTTAACTTTGCAACGGTAAGCTAGCTAATTTATATTCAAACAGATTTACAACACATGTAACATAATGGATGTAACTTTTTGCTATTTACATGCACTCTACATTAGAGTAATTGATTGAGCTCATGTAGTGTTACGATTATAAATGTTGTTTGCTATGCTATTGTTATACAAGGGTACATTGGGAAACTTAATTTTGTTTATCTTACTGGAATTCTCTTGTAAGAAAATTACTTCCCAAGTACTTTGAATTTAGGTTTGGCAAAGTTGAGTTAGTCGCATGGACAAGACACCCTAATCATATATTTTTGTCAAATCTTGAATGTTTTTTAGCAATACAAATATATAACTTCTAATTGTTTCTTCTCCAGGTTGTCATTCAATCTATTTTTTTATCCCGGAATGTAAACCACTAAAGAGTGGGGTAAGTGCCGGGGAACACCTACCAAATTTATTAAAAGAAATGCTAACAATTTTTATAGGGATCAGATGGAAAATAGTGAGAGCGCCCCATTGTTGTAACAGGCGAGGCGGACACTGTTGTCATTCACTCTATTAAACAAAGTATATTTTACGATTTATTTGCACTCACTGATGGGCTTGAGGGCTGTAATGAAACAAATGAGAAGCTCCCTTTTACCAAACTCTTTGATACCTCTCTCATGAGTTTGTTGTCAATGATGGTACTGTATTCACTTTTCGTACTAACAAGGATGCTCCCACGTACAAAATAGTTAGCTCAAATATTAAATCCTTTTCTTACTACCAAGGATGCCTCTCTCAATCACTTTCCCCTCATCATAAACCATTTTCCAATACTTTTATTCACTTTCCCCATGTTTTTCCTTGCTTGTCATGTTTTTGATAGGTTATATTAGTGGTGATTGTTTTGTTGCTACTCGTATGTCTTCTTTGAGATCAATACAAGCAGCGGTAATTTGTACATTGTAATGTAGCTGGAGTCACTAATGAGTAATAAAGGGGCAGTAGTTGAGTAGTCACTTTGTACATACTGTTATAGCAGTTACAAGAATAATTAATATCATTAACAATTGGATAGTAACTGAGATTAGACTAGAAGAAAATGCAACTTAGAACTGTAAATGTAGTGTGGTTTGTACAAAATTTCAAGGTAGGTGGTATCTAAGATTTGTAGATAACATATATTACGTACATAACAAAGCTAACTTAACTATGTCACAATGGATGTGTATTAATAGTTACTTATCAAGTTGCTTAATAATAAGAAAAATGAATTTTGTCAAGTGAAAATGGTAGTTATTATACAGAAGAGTTAATTGTTTTGTTTTGTTTCAGTGAGATGGAAGCTTTGTTTCTGACAATGTTGAAAGGGCAACGGTGGAATGAGAATAAGGAATCTAAAGCAAAGATACATGCATGGCATGATTGTGAACTACTATCGTATTTGACAACGTATGGAGTTCTCATGGTACAAATGCGGGATTTAATAAGTTGTGATATAGAGGTCGAGAATGTGCGCATCTCAAAGAAGTTCTCATGGTACTCTAGAATTCCAAGCATTAGTATTAGGCCATTGTACATGGTAAAACATAGGTACTATTGAATTGCGTCTAAGTTACTGAAAGTATATCCAGAGGATATGACAAAATGAAAAAACATAGTATACATTTAAGACACTAAATTTACATCAATAGCAATGTCTCATGCTTCCATAAATTTCAATCAATTTCTAATAAACACATTTAAATAACTTGGCAACTTCTTTCTTCAGTTGCGCCTTGTGATCCTATCCCGCCTTGCCTTTTAAGTGTCCATGCTGATAGAGGTCACGAGTCCACTTTGCCCTGTACTCTGAGACCTTTGGTGGACAGACCATAGAGATATCCATTTGCATGCATCTATAGAACCTCTGCAAACTTGAGTGAACACAACACAGTTACTCCTACAAATAGTTACAAATAATATTAAAGTTATGGAAGAAAATTGAAATGTGATTAGGGGTGCACTAATTCAATCTTTATCCATTTATCACCTATGACCAGACAAGTACAACATCCTCAACGGTGTATATTTCTATAAAAACACTATACTCATACCTAAAATTTGTGAAAATTCAAAGCACTAGTATACTTGTCAAATGAAAATTGATAAATACTTGTGAAGCACTAGTATGCTTGTCAAATGAAAAAGAGAGTCTCATGTAAGAGCTGAAGTTCATATAAAATATCCTCAACATTGTTTAAAAAGACTATTTTGAACGATGAAAATTGTGGAAATTCAAAGTCATCCATCCAAATTTAATACCAACGAATTGGTACTAATGAATTTGTGATACTTAACGAATGAGCAGAATAATCAAATCAAAACTTCCCTTTTAAAGTTGGAAGAAGATAGTTGTTTTTTATGTTCCTAGGAATCGTTAAAAAAATAGTAAAACTAGCTTCTGTAACACAACAAAGAAAATCAAGATTTGAGTGTTAAGATAAATTTAAAATGCAACGAATCTTTTGAGTAATTACTATTACTATTTCCAATTTTTTCTTTTTTCAGTTGATATGATAGTATAGGATTATTTTGAGGGATGCTTAGCAAAAATAGATTTTTTTGGAAAGTATAGTACTATAGCCTCAATTTCTAATGTTAATATAGTATTAAATCTGTCAGATTCTTGGAAAAAGAGAACTTTAGTTGATATATCACCATAATTACATGCAATTCTTTGCCTCTTATTAGCATACAGTTTGATTAAGATTGAAATGTCTTCAACCAAATATACCTATACCAGGCAGTGTCTTGAATCATGGTGGCTGGGAGCAGCTTCTAAATCAACTCTTCTAGGGCTATTATTCTACGGGGTTATATGCTGGTCCATTTGGAAGACATATTGCTCTCTTAACTGGGGTAATGAGATCGTGGAAGCAACGATGGTCACTCCATATTGTAAGAAGAAATTTGCTAAGAAATATAGAGGTTCAAAATGTACTTAAAGATTTTAATACCAAACTTCAATGTCAAGTTATATTTTGGGTCAACCCCCAACACCCTAGCCTGAAAATGAACATTTATTTTAGTTTCCGTAACAGTGACCTAACGGGAGAGACCATTATCAGAAGTCACTCAATGTATCATTTATGCATTATTGTTTTGATATTGGTATCTCAAGTTGTGAGTTTAAGATATGCATACGGGTTTTAGCACTGAAATATGAACTTATAAATTAATGGTTGGTATCTCAAGTTGTGATTTTATCACTTCTTAAAGGGACATATAAAAAAAAGACTAAGGTTACTTAAGTGTAAAGACATAACTACATAAGCAACGACAAAGCAGCAATCCCTCTGTCATGAAGCATGAAGAAGTTATGAACTTGTAAGAAGAAATGAAAGAGCGGCGACGGTTGATCTATGAGAAGCTAGACCACAAAAAGTCAATCTAAAGACAACATTGTCATGCCCTAAACCTCTATTAGAACCACATTATTTATGCTAGATTATACTTATATTTATATCATTATGCATCAAACTATACGTATTTTGAAGGTTAACCTAATGCACACTTACTGAAGAAAAGAACTTTTATTGACGAAAAGAAGAATGACCATGATCTGATTCCTGCTAACATTTAATTAATTCTTTCACTAACAGTCACAATGTTTGTTGTTGTGGGTAACCGAAGGCAGTCCCTCAGTTACCCACATGTCGGGACTTGAGGGCTTGCCTTGTCGTTTGTTGGAATTTCACAGATTTTGTAATTTAATGATTTTCCCGAGGGGGTCCCCCAGTCCCCCACTCCTTGAGGCACTTGTAAAGTGGTGAAAAGGAGTAAAGTAGTTACGTTGCTGTTGTGGGCCGAAGGCTGACGCTTTTCGTTTCATTTTGGGGGATGCCTCGTTAAAAACCTCATTAGGAAAAACCCTGTGGGAAAAAATCCTAATGAGGGAAAAAGAGTGCACCGAATTCCCCCAATGATGAATCGAAAATGTCAAACCTTGGTAAAAAATGGAGAATAACGGGAATGCCGAAGGCTCTCTCTTCTGAGGGCTCCCGTGTTGATTAGCCGAAGGCTTGCTATTGATGTCCTGGTGGCGCCGAAGGGGAGCCCCTCAATCCGGGGATCGAGGGCCTGCTGGATGAGGGCAGTAATTTAACTGTCGCCGGGGGGTCCACTGTTTGTTGATTACTTGGTGATGAAGATACCCGAGGGCTCCCATTACCAGTGTGCCATGGGTTATCCGTCAATGAGGTAACGCCCCGGGGGCTACCCGGTTTTGCAGCGCTGAGGGGGAATCCCCGAGGGGTGCCCTGATATGAAGCCCTGGGTTTCTGAGGGAGTGATCCCGAAGGCGTCAGTTATGCGCTGTGTGGGGCACAACCCGGGGGCGCTTCTGGGTAAGTGTACCCGGAGGCTATCCTTGATGAAGTGGAGTGAATTAAAAAACCCGGGGGCTTCCAGAATATAGCCGTTGGAATATGTAGCGTCAGCTTTATAGCCGTTGGGGGGGGGGAACACGTGGCGCGTGATGGCTGGCTGTCCGTGGGCGGCATCACTGGTTGGGTGAGGACGCGGTGTGTAATGATGGTGGTCCATCCGGAGGCCCGGAATCCAGGCCCAAGCCCGGATTCCATCGCCTATAAATACCCCAAGGCCAGGGCCATTCCCCGCTGTGCGAACTCAGTTGTCTTAGCGAAGCTCTGCCAAAAAATCTAGTGAGAGAAACTCAAGCCTTCGGTCCTAACTCAGCTTTCGAGGTCAGTGCTCCCTGCCTTTCTCCTTCTAGTATAGCTGTACATTGCGCCCTCGGGTTAGGAGATAGAATTCACTAGAAACCTTAGTTCCCCCGAACCCTCGAGCTAGAGTTAGAATGTCGTCCCAGAGTGACTCTCAGGACATCTCGAGGACGCCCTCGATGGAGGACGAAGGCATCTCCGACGTGGAGTCCAGCAGCGGTCAGCCCTCGGATGGTGCTGATGCCGCCCTGGCCCGGGAGGTCCAGAAGGAACTCATTGCTGAGGTCGAAGCCGAGGGCTTCGAGCAGGAGTGCGAGGATGAAGACTTAGCCCTCGCATGGCAAACAGCGGAGGATGAGGCGCAGAATGAGAGCTCGAAGGTTACGATTGCTGTTCTCCCCCCTCGGGGTTCTGGGGAGGCCAGTAGCTCGAGGCCGCTGGATCCGATACCTCTGAGGGCGGTTTCCGGTTTGAAGAAGAAGAAGGCCGCTACCAAGAAGAAGGAGAGGGTCGTCGATCAAGGAAAGCCCGTGGACATGCCCGAGGGGTACAGTTGGCTGAACACTGAGGCCCTCGAGATTAGGTCGAAGGCTGATAGGGCAGATCTGTACGTGACTCAGCTGCACGTGGGGCCCTCGGCCGAAGTGGTGGAGCCAGGTCCCGACGACGTGTTGTCCAGGGCGCCCGAGGGGTGTATCGCTATTCACGTCCTCTCGGTTTCCATGGGACTTAGGTTCCCTCTGCACCCGTTCCTCCGGGAGTATTTGAGGTTTGTTGGTTTGGTCCCCTGCCAACTCACGCCCAACAGCCACTCCTACATTGCGGGGTTCCTCCAGCTCTGCAAGTCCCGAGGGGTGAAGCCCAGCCTGGATCTATTCTTCCAGAGCTTTAATTTGTGCCGGGGGGGCACGAAAACGGTGAGGGGTACACAAACCTGCAGCAGATTGCCCGCTTCAAGCTATTCTCCGATGCTCCTTCTTCCAACAAAGGATGGAGGGAACGTTGGTGCTACGTAAAGTTGGGTGAGAGCCCATTCCCGAGGGGGCTGCGTGATCGATTCCGAAGGCACGAAAAAATCAGGAGTGCTGCTCTCGAGAAAGACAGCCTAAAGTTGGCCAAGTTCCCGGAGGGGAAAAATAAGAACGTGGCGATCAAAGACTGCACCCTCGAGGAGGATTTATACACCCTCGGGTTCCGGAGGTACCGCTTCATAGGGGAGACCGATGAGAAGTACCCTCCCTTCAACAAGGCCTTCGGAGGAGCCGGAGGTAGGAGCCGAGGGCTTTAGAATTCTGTACCTAGTTTTATTTTTGCTTGGATGTCATTGTCCCTTCGCTCAGACCCGTCAGCCTAACCCTTTGTCATATATTTTGCAGGTATCCCCGTCTCCATGGTGAACGTGAAGGGCCTCGCTCGCCTGAAGAAACAGGACCCGAAGGGGTCGGGACAGGGCAGCCAGAAGCCCGCCACTGCCCTCTTCAAGAAAGCCGAGGGCGATGCTGCTGCCGGCAAGAGGAAGGCGGCGACCAAGGGGTCCCCCCCGGCTACCAAAAAGCCGAAGAAGGGGGATATCGCCGAGAAGGAGCCCCCGGTCATTATTGCTGATGAGCACCCCCGCCTCCGGGGTGCATGTGGAGAAGCCGTCGGGTGAAACGCCGGCGGGGGCAGAGGAGTTGCTGCCTGAGGTCCTCCAAGTTTCGTTCCCGAGGGGGACATCCCTGGCCAGCGGCGCTGTCAACCCGGGGGCCATCTTGAGGGGCATAACCCCTGAGACTGATAGGTCTGCCCTCGGGGCCTATAATGATGCGGCCCTCGAGGACCACATTCTCCGCTCCTCCCTTTCTGTAAGTGTTTACTCAGCTTTCTTCCTTTTCTCCTTTGATTATATTGTGCAATTGCCTTTAACCGTTTTGGTTGTTGGTCTGCAGGCTTGTCTAGCCCTCGGTGAACATGCCCGGAGGCTTCAAGAATGGCGCCTCCATAAAGCAGAGCAGAACGCCAAGATGAAGGAATGCATCCTCAAAAATAAAGAGGCGGTGAAGCTGGGGGCCAGGCTGGAAGAGGAGCTTCGGCAAATGGAGCTGAGATTGGAGGCCGCAGAGAAGGGCAAGGCTGATGCTGAGGCCGCTGCTGAGGAGGCCAGGAGAGCTGCCAAAGAGGCCGATGACTCCAAGGCGTTGGCCGTCGCCAAGGCTCGGGAGGAAGCCGTTGATGCCTTCGTCGCCGAGGGCTGGAGGGCCGAGGGACGCAAGATGTGGTTGTCCTCGGTCGTGGAGGCATACGTCGAGGAATGGGCCGAGGGCCCCGGGTGGGAATGGATGGCCCGGAAGGGCAGAGAATATTATGAAGCCGGCGAATTCTTCACCCAGGCCCTCATCTACCGGAGGATGGCTCGGCATTTGGGCATTGAGCAAAAGGATTTCTCCCCCTCGGCATATGGCCTTCCTCCCCTGCAGCCTGATGTCCGTGAGTCGCTCCCGGAAGGTGTACAGAGGCCCGACCTTGAGGACACGGAGTTGAAGAATGAGGCCGAGGACGACGCTGTCGAGGTCGGAGCGGAGGCATCATCGAGGCCGGCTGCAGAGGGCACCCCGGTGAATGATGTTGTTGTAGTTGTAGAGTGATTTTGTACTTAGAAATCCTTGAACATATTTTGTAATGAACAACATTGATCCTTCGGCTTCGGCCTGTTTGTAAATTTCACACTTACTTTGTTTTTGATGAATGCATGCTGCCCCCGGGCTCTTTACATTTGAATGCGCCTTACGTTTTGAATGTATGCCTTCTACTTCTTGAATGTATGTTTTAGGACTTAGAATATTATCTGATTGTAGCTAGCCCTTGGGAGCCTTCGGTAGTTGGGCATCCTCTGCTGGATATGCAACTGAGGGTTCTGTAGGAATTAGGACTTAGAAAAGTTTTCTAAGTGTAGCACACCTTAGGGCCTTCGGGTGTTTGCAGTAACCCAATTCCTAGGACTTAGAAAAATTTCTAAGTGTAGATTTTCCCTTGGGAGCCTTCGGGAGATGGCATCCCTCCTTGATGTAAGAGTAGTTGACCGGGGGAAAAGCATGTAGGACTTACAAAATATTCTAAGTGTAGATTTTTCCTTGGGAGCCTTCGGGAGATGGCATCCCTTCTTGATGTATGAGTAGTTGACCGGGGGGGAAAATATGTAGGTCTTAGAAAATATTCTAAGTGTAGATTTTCCCTTGGGAGTCTTCGGGAGATGGCATCCCTCCTCGATGCATGAGTAGTTGACCGGGGGGAAACATGCAGGACTTAGAAAATATTCTAAGTGTAGGTTTTCCCTTGGGAGCCTTCGGGAGATGGCAGCCCTCCTTGATGCATGAGTAGTTGACCGGGGGGAAAACATGTAGGACTTAGAAAATATTCTAAGTGTAGGTTTTCCCTTGGGAGCCTTCGGGAGATGGCAGCCCTCCTTGATGCATGAGTAGTTGACCGGGGGGAAAACATGTAGGACTTAGAAAATATTCTAAGTGTAGATTTCCCCTTGGGAGCCTTTGGGAGATGGCATCCCTTCTTGATTCTACATCACTTTGCGAGATGCCCGGGGGCTGGCCTTCGGCTACCATACTCCCTTGGCTGTAATATTGATTGGGCCGGGGGGCAATCTTTAGGACTTAGAATTTTTTCAAGTGCTGCTTCCTTGTGTAGCCTTCGGGTGTTAGGTGCCCTCTGACTCTACATTACTTTGCGTAAATTGATGTTGAATCCTGTTGTTGTGAAGAAAGCCAATGAGGAGTGTGTGCCCTCGGCATACACTTTAAAAGATGTAGAATTTGACCCTTGTCATGGGGAAAAGGTCCTCGGTACTAGTGCGTCACAGATGCCTTCGGTATATGTTTGAAGGTACCGTCTTAGTGTACTTTGGATAGTCCAGTCCCTTTGTATTGTTGAAGCCTTCGGTGTTTGTGTGACCGGAGGTGGCCAGGCAGTGGATTTAGCCGTTCCTGGCTGCTATTTGTTCGAGCAGTGTCCTTCGGGAAATAGGAGCCTTCAGTTACCGGAGGTGTTCCCGTAGGGAGCCCTCGGTTTGTTGTGATCTGTTGGAGTGTACTCTTTGATTTCTTGCTGAGCCTACTCCCCTTCACCCCTTTTTTTTTTTGGTTGGTGGTGAAGGGAAGACATCAAGAAACTTGGTTTCTTGGTAAGGCTGGGCCTATTAGGAGACCATCAGAATACACCAATGGCTCTCCTCCCTCGGGTTAACCTTCCGAGTTCCGAGGGGATCGAGGGACGTTTCCTGGGCACAAGATATGGTGGTCCGTAACCTGCCTTCCCTTGGGGGATGGCGCGGAAAGCGCCTCATTTTTGAAAGTCGTCCCCTCGGCGCTAGACATAGTCTGTGGCCTGCCACACCCTTGGGGTGGTGGCGCGGGGAGCGTTTCGGTTTGGAAGTCGAATCCTGGGCATTTCTCATGCCTGTCATACCCTGGGGGTAGTGACGCGGATAGCGTTCCGTTTTTGAAAGTCGAATCCTGGGCATTTCTCATGCCTGTCATACCCTGGGGGTAGTGACGCGGAAAGCGTTTCAAGGAAGGGTTGTCATTTGCACACTAGTTGCAAATGGCCGGGGGCACTACGTGCGCCGGCACCGATGGTGGCGCCTTCGGTATATGCGTCCTCGTGGGGTACGGCTTTTAGAAACAACACTTGGTGTTAGTTTCGATGTGTAGCCCCCGGTACTTGGTACCGAGGGGTCTTCTGTAGGAACACTTGGTGTTCTCTTTTGTCGTAGTTGATGTAGGCGTCTACCCTCGGTACTTGGTACCGAAGGGTCTTCAAATGAAACACTTGGTGTTTCCCAACAGATGTTTGGAAGTTGATAGGAGAGCATATCCCTGGCACTGGGTGCCGAGGGGTCTTCTTTGAAACATTTTGGTGTTTTTTCTTCGTTTCGATGTTTGATGATGGAGGTGTACCCTCGGCACTGGGTGCTGAAGGGTCTTCTGTAGGAACACTTGGTGTTCTCATTTTTTCTTTTTTCTTTTTTATGATTAAGGTGGGAATGTACCCTCGGCACCGGGTGCCGAAGGGAAATAAAACACATGGTGTTCCTTGTTGTTGGTGATAGGAGTTCCCTCCCTCGGCACTGGGTGCCGAGGGGTCTTGACTGAAAACACGTGGTGTTTTCACTGTTTGTTGTAGGTGTTGATGGTGTCCGCCCTCGGCACTTGGTGCCGGAGGGGGTTCTTCTCGTGGTGAGGCCTGGGGCCTGTAGTCAGTATGAGGGCTTGATGTCTTGAATGTATCTTCATTCTTCGAAATTGGAGGCCTTGGGCCATAGGATAGTACATTCACTAGTTATGAGGGCTTGGCCGCTCTTACATTATTGATAAAATTTAACTAAGTGGTGTACATTCCAGTGCCTAGGGATTTCTTTCCCATTGGGGCGTTTGAGCTTGTAGGTCCCGGGTTTGATGATGGCTGCTATGATGTAGGGGCCTTCGAATTTTGGTGCCATTTTTCCTCCCTCGGTTGGTTGGCTGGCTTCCCTCCTCCGGAGGACATAGTCCCCCACTTGAAATTCTCGGGTGCGAACTTTGGCGTCGATGTAGCTTTTAACTTGCCTTCGGTAGTTTTCTGCCCTGATGAAGGCCTGCTCCCGGCGTTCTGAAATGATGTGGAGGTCGAGGGCCATGTTGCTGTCGTTGACCTCGGGGTCATATTGGATCACCCTTCGGGTGGGAAGGGTGACTTCCGTAGGAGCTTTGGCTTCAAAACCGTAGTAGAGGGAGAAGGGTGTTTCACCTGTTGCTCGCCGAGGGGTGGTGCGATCGGCCCAAAGGATGTTGTGGAGTTCTTCCACCCAGCCACCACCCTCGGCCTCCAGCTTCTTTTTGAGGCCCTCGAGCAAGGTCCGGTTGGCGTTCTCTACTTGCCCGTTGCCTTGAGGGTAGGCAACGGAGGAGAAGGTGTGTTTGATGCCCCATGCCTCCAGAAGGGCACAAAAGGGGGCTGCCTCAAATTGTGTCCCATTGTCGGAGATGATCTGCTGGGGGACGCCAAACCTTGTGAGGATGTTCTTGAGGACGAAGTGACGGCACTTCGCCTCTGTGATGCTGGCGAGGGGTTCAGCCTCCACCCACTTGGTAAAATAGTCGACGGCCACAATGATGTATCTGTTGTTGGAGGTACCCCTCGGCAGAGGGCCCACAAGGTCTATCCCCCATCGAGAAAATGGGACAGAGGTGCTGATGGGGGCATAGTTGACCGCTGGCCTGCCGGGAGCTTTCTGGAAATGTTGACATGTGGTGCACCTCCGGGCAAGGTCAGCACAATCCCTGGCCATGGTTGGCCAGAAGTAGCCCTGGAGAATGAGCCTTCGGGACATGGAGAAGGGTCCTTGGTGAGCTGAGCAAGTGCCACTGTGCACTTCCTCCATTGCGACCTCGGCTTCATCTGGATGAAGGCACCGAAGTAGCGTGCCATTGTAAGATCGTTTGTAGAGCCTTCCATCTTCGATGGCGTAGCTGGGAGCCCTCAGCTTTGCCAGTTTAGCGCGAGCCTCATTCTCGGGTAGCTGCCCTGTGGAGATGAAGGCGGTGATATCTGAGATCCAATCCTCCTGACGTTGTTGTATGTTCATAACGGGGCTTGCATGGATGCTTGAGAGGCTGAGTTCCTCGATTTTGGCAATTTTGGAGATGTGCTCGGGGGAGTCAGCCGAGAGCTTAGATAATATGTCGGCCTCGGAGTTCTGAGCCCTCGGTATTTGAGTGAGAGAGTGTGCCTCAAATACCTTAAGCAACTCCTTGGCCGCTTCCTTGTACTGTTTCATTCTCCCCTCCTTGGCCTCATAGTCTTCGGAGATTTGGCCAACGACCAACTTGGAGTCGCATTTGATGTGGATCTGCCGAGCCCTCATGTTGGCAGCCAGCCGAAGGCCACATAGGAGGGCCTCATATTCGGCCTCATTGTTGGAGACCTTGAAGGAGAAGCGGATTGCATAGTAGGCCCTGAAGCCCTCGGAAGTAATGAGGACTACCCCTCCCCCGCATGCTTTGGTTGCGGAGGAGCCATCATTGTAGAGGGTCCACCAGTCGTCCGAGGTAGCCGAGGGCTCCCCGTCCGTGGCTGCCCTTGCGGTACATTCCGTCACAAAGTCCGCCAGGGCTTGGCCCTTGATGGCAGGTCTTGGACGGATGTCAATGTTGTACTGGCTCAAGAAGATAGCCCATTTCACCATGCGGGAGGAGCTGGTGGGGCTCCTCATGAGGGCGCCGAGGGGTTGATGGGTGAGGACCTGAACCGGGTGAGCCTGAAAGTAGTGGCCCAACTTTTTGACAGTCCAAACGATGGCTAACACCGTTTTTTCCACAGGGGAGTACCTGAGCTCGGCCTCCCTTAGGGTCTTGCTAACGTAGAAGATGGCATGTTGGATGCCGTCTTCCTCCTGGATGAGCACAGAGCTGATGGCCGCCGGG